TACTTTTTTTTTTCTTTTCGTAAACTTTATACTCAACGTGAAGCTCGAACTCACAACCAGCAGATGAAGAGTCACATGCTCTACTGACTGAGCCAGCCAGGTGTCCCTAAAGGCTCTATGCATTTATTTTAACTGCAGTGCTAATAAGTACCAGTTAGAGAACTGAGTCAGTGGCTACAACAGAAAATCTAAATAACAATGGCTGACGCAGCATGGTGGATTTTTCTCATGCAATGAGAATTCTATAGGAAGCACATTACTGGTATAGTTTTGGAAGTTCAAGGATGCCATGTCTAAAAATATGAATAATACTCCTGGTCTTAAGGTTACAAGGTGGTTGCTCCACTTCCTGTCATCATGTGTGTCTTCTGTGAATGAGAAAGAGAGAATGGGCCAGAAGGGGGACAAAGCAACATCTGTATCAAGAAAGCAAAACCTTTCCAGATAATATCATCAGATTTTTGGTTATATTTCACTAGACAGAATTATAGGAGACTGTTCCTCAAAACACCAAAAAGGGTGAGAAGAGGGGGGGGGCTTGTATTTTTTTCCTCTTCTTTTTTGCCTTTGTTTTCCTGCGATACTGGAACTCCATAAGTAAGAGGGAGAGGAGAAAAAATATTGAGTAAGTCACAGGAAACCTCTGTCAGAAGGGTATTGATGAGTATATGGGTGCCAGGAGAGAGTCAATGTAAATAAAAGACACAGCACATGAAATCAACTGATGGCTGCTTCTCCATCCTGTCTAGTAATGGAGGACAGGAGTCAAACATTTTGATTTATAAGCTTTAAAGCCCTACTGAGGCATAAGTTTCAAGGGAATCCTAACATAATGTCTTTCTATTTTTCATTCAGCTCTTCATGGGATTCATAAATAAAGCTTTCCTGGGGCACCAGGGTGGCTCAGTTGATTAAGCGTCCGACTTCAGCTCAGGTCAGGATCTCACAGTCTGTGAGTCTGAGCCCCACATCAGGCTCTGCGCTGACAGCTCAGAGCCTGGAGCCTGCTTCAGATTCTGTGTCTCCCTCTCCCTCTGCCCCTTCCCCGCTCATGCTCTGTCTCTCTCTGTCTCAAAAATAAATAAAAACATTAAATAAATAAATAAATAAATAAATAAATAAATAAATAAAGTTTTCCTGAGCACCTTCTATTTATCTGGCACTGTGATACATTGAGTAAAATTATGTAATAATTGTCTTCAAGCTGCCAACTTTAATTAAAATGAACTTTTCAATATCAGTAGTGAGCACAGGGTCATGCAGTGGTCCACTGAAGAAGCACTTAGCTCAAAATGGATCTGTGCTTGTGGAGTAGGAGTTTAGTCAGAGAAGAACTGCTACAGAAGGAGAAAGTGAAGCTCGCCAATTGACGTGCAGAAGGGACTGTTGGCATAGAGTATTAGTGCATAAAGGCCCAGGAAGGCAAGACAAGTAAAAAGTATTCTGGGATTTGCAATTATTTTTTTAGTGGTGCAAAGCACAGAATTCAAAGGGTGAGGACAATGGTAGTGAGAGAAATTAGAAGAGAGGTATGCAAGAAACGATGGGTGTTTTTACACAATGAGACACTTACCCATTTTAAGCTGATACTAGTTTCATGCTTTAGGAAAGTTATCCTGATTCTACTGAAGACAGTTTACTGGAAACAGATAATACTGGAAAGAGGGAATTCAGTTAAAGGACTATTCTAATTGTTCAAGTGAAAACTATGAAAGCCCATCTCAAAACAATGCCAGAGGAATTGGGGGAAAAAAGGATACTGATTCTAAAGACATTAAACAAGTCAAAGTCAAAAACACATTCACCAAATGCTGTGTGTGCATGTATTCATGGCAAGGGGTGGAGGGCAGGCAGGAAAAACAAGTACAGAGGTAGGGCAGAAATGAGGGTAGAAAAATAAGACAACTTCCATTTCTTCACTCATTCACTAATTCAATAATGATGACTGAGCCAATTTTCCTAAAGATAGCATATGTTTGGGCTAAGACATAATAAAAATACACACACCTCTTCATATTAATGTCTATACATCTGACACAAGCACAACTTGAGACCACCTCACCAAGAAAACAGTCATTCAGCCACTGAGAAACCTAACAATGTGCTCTTGAATCATGGATAAACAGCCTACTTCCTAAAGTAAATCTCAAAGGCCAAGGGAATAATATAAAACACCAGATATTATTAAACAAAACACAGTCCTGATCAATACCATGTTTCCATAGTGAGTTACTTAGGAGCCTTCAAAACAACTTATTACAGAAATGAGACTCTTATGCTTTGGCTTTCTCTCTCACTCTAACCTCCTTTTTTATTTTTTCCTTCCCCTCCCCTATGGGTTTCTGTTAAGTTTCTCAGGATCCACATAAGAGTGAAAACATATGGTATCTGTCTTTCTCTGTATGGCTTATTTCACTAAGAGACTCTTAAAAACTGAGAACAAACTGAGGATGGATGGGGGGTGGGAGGGAGGGGAAGGTAGGTGATGGGTATTGAAGAGGGCATCTTTTGGGATGAGCATTGGGTGTTGTATGAAAACCAATTTGACAATAAATTTCATATATTAAAAAATAATAATAAAAAAATAAAATTAAAAAAAGGAAATGAGAAACTTATTAAACTGGCCTCTGTAGCAATTAAAAATAAAATCTGTTATCTAAAATATCAGGTAAAAATTATTAAACCATAAGGAAAATGATGCAGGCTTCACAAAGCCAATCCATACCTAAATAGAATAGCAAGACACATAGGAATAGATTACAGTCCCAGGTCCAGAGAAAACCAACACAAGTGGTGCGTTGGAAGCATGCAACAGTTTCTAAAATTAGCATTCTATTATCCTGCCTTTATATTATGCATTAAAGGTGCCTTAAGGTTCACTAACCCAATAGGCCTTGTCACTGCTGTTACCAGCTCAACCATGCTAATAACAGGGAATCTCTTAATGCATTCTCTGGTTTGAAAAAAAAAAAAAATGTATAGAAGAATGAATAATGCCCAAAGTAATTCTGGCTTCCAGACAAGAAGAGCATCCATATTAAAGAATCCATCTCTTGTTTTTCAAAAGATTTCTCTCCTCTGCGTTTATGCCCTGGGAGACTATTTGACCTTAAGGACAATGAAATCAACAAATTAGCAGAAATGAGTGTGATTAAAACAAATGCATAGCATAGTGGTTGTAAGCTCACTTTTAAGTCAAAAAGATCTGAATTAGAATTTCCTAGCCTCTCTAAGTTTCATTAATAATATAGACATAATAGCATCTAGTTCACAGAAAAATAAATGCTTACGAGACACCCAGTCCCATATCTGGCATAAATAAGTCTTAAATAGATATCAACATAAAAGATGGATTAACGGCATCTTGGGAAGTAGTGATTTGCATTTCTCTTTTACAGGAGATGAGACTGAGGCTCTGAGAGGGTCAGTGACTTGTCCAAGGTCACGATGCTAGTAAATATCAGAACAAGGATTCAAGTACAGATCAACTGTGGTATACAGCAGATTGCTCTGATTTTTTTTATTCTACATTTTAGAAGATATCCTTTCAAAAAGCCAGGACTTAACATAAATACGGTGCTGAGGTTATGGCTTCAGAATTAAATCAAAGAGGGAAAAGGAACATACAGAATAAAATAAGAGCAAAAGCAGTCTACTGCAAAAAGCTCGCACTACAGCCCTGGACATGATCAAGTTTAGAACACAGAACCTGTGAGAAATGGTTAAAACAATCAAGATAATTTAGTCTGGAGAAGAGACAATAGTAGAAAATATAACTGCAACTATCAAATTTACAGAAACGTAATTTAAAAGATTATACACACTTTCAGTTTGCAAGGATGGTTTAACTATTCCCAAAAAACTAAAAATTAAATGTAACAAAAAAATGAGTTTTTTGTTGTCAATTTTGAGTAAGAGTTTGTGCTGGTGGGAGTGATTTCAAGGGATAGATGAGAGCTCTATATATGATTCATGGATGAAATACTATGTTTATATTTGCAAGTTCTGTAGCTATTGGGGAGCAGCTGGATTTTAAGGGAATATTAAAACCTATATTATCTTTCACATGATTTACATTTCAAAAACAAAATGTATGTCTGAATTTTCATGTTTAAGTATTAAAATACCCATGAGTTTACCAAAAAGAAACTGCCCATAGCAATTTTCCACTTAACAAAGTTATTACCAGCAAAGAATTTGATTAGTATGTAAAAATTTATCTCACTATATAATTTCACACTTACTAAATGATATATTACTTGTCATTATCTTGAGATGAAGAAGTTTAGGGACTAGATATTTCCAAATTCTACTTTCAAACTGACCACTGACTCCAGATATAACCATAAATTAGGGCAAGAAAAAAATCAAATGCATATTTCTAGACAGTTACACACCATACTGACCAAATCAACCTAGTATAAAAAAAGGACCAGCACCATCTAATAGCGAACAGAGTTTTAAAAAATAATGTATAAATTTCTCATGAATCTATAATTACATAACCACACCAGGGGGCGCTCTTAACACTGAAATGATGGATGACATATTTTAAAACACATGGTGGTCTCAGTTGGCCAAAATGAGATTTTTTTCTAGGCATATAGTACTTGCAACAAGTGCTTATCTCTTGAAAATGTTTTCAGGCAACACACACATTTTTTTTTTACATCCAAAATGTTTGTGTTGTTAAGACTATCAAGTTAGTCTACCAAGAAAAACATTTTCTGCTGATACGAAACATCTTATTTTGGAAACATTTGTCTAGTTAGACTGGCATCTGTCTCTTATTCTTTCTGTGGTTATGCAGGTTCTCAATAGTCAACAAACTGCTTAAGAGTTCATAAAACTTTAAAAATGGTTTCACTGCCCACTTTATTTTTTACAAAATCCCCATCTAGTTTCCCCCTTCCCACCACAAAAAAAGAGGTCATCTAAAATTGACATACAGCGAAATTCTAATCTGGGCAGCATGGGACTTTTCCGTATTTTCTCATTACCTGGTAAGAACGTTGAAGCCCAGACACTCTTCTCAGGAAGTTCAAGATTCAGACTCCTCTAAAAATACAATTAGAAAATCAGTGTGAGGCTTCAAGAAAATAGAAAAAGGCAAAAAGTAAGTTTGGGCTATGTTACCCAGAGAAAATCACCATTTACTACTCTATCAATAGTAAACATTTTTACACAAATGACATCTGATTAAATAAGCTTTAAGACACAACTTAAAGTTGAATCACAAAGTTTGTGAAAGAAAGAGGACATAACTACCGGTCTTCCAATGTAGTAGAGAGAGTTGTAAACTTTTCTCAACCCATGTAGTTGAGATCACCCCCTTTTTTTACCAGCTGCCTCCCTGACTCATCATCTACCTGTGCCTAAACTGGAAGAGTTCTGGCCAAGGTTAACAGAGTATGAATGAAGAGAAGGTTGTTACCACAAATGCTGAGTTCAAGGAAACATGAATGGACCTATCTACTGTTTGCACCCTACATGAAATTCATCAGAATACTAATATTTCAAATCCTATTGACAATACCAAATTTTTCATTCTAGAACAAAAGTAAGGATTTAAAGTAAAAATATACCTGGAGACAAAAGATAAATTTATTTATTACTTTGGATCAAAGTATATGTGAATGATGGGAAGTCCTACCTACCCAGAAGTAGATTTTAATATAATTTTTGAGTATATGGAGGGGATGGAAGAAAAAAAACAACACAGGACTGGGGTGTCTGGGTGACTCACTAGGTTAAGCACCTGACTTCAGCCCAGGTCATAATTTCACAAGTTCATGGGTTTGAGCCCCACACTGGGCTCTCTGCTGTCAGTACAGAGCCCACTTTGGATCCTGTCTGCCCTCTCTCTGCCTGCCCCCTCTGGAAAACAAACAAACATTATAAAAATTAAAAAAAAAAAAAAAAAAAGAACACAGGACGAAAAGAGATCAGGCTATGAAGGAAAGAACCCTCCAGAAAGAAGTACGTTTGGAGTCGAGTGACCACTTTTACCTACGTTACTCCCTCTTGATCTTTGGAGTGAAAGAAACAATTACTGTTGACCAAGACAAAGGAAGCCTTGTTTGGTAAGAGGGAACAGCTGACACGAACCAATCTGGCATATGGTAAAGCCACATGATTTTCTATCAACAGCAAAGTTAAAAAGCAGTGGTATTTGGGGTTCCATGTGGTCCATCCTGTTAGAAGCGGGCCCTTAGTTACTAGAAAATGAAGAGTTTATTCCCCACTTAACTGGAATGGTTGCCAGAGAGCCACCAAGTGACCTATAGTTTAAATAAGGTTCTAGTGCCACCTGAAGATAAGGATAATAGCCAAAAAATGACAAATTTGTAAAATAGTTTGATGAAACGGCTGGTGGGTATGAGAGAATGGAAACAGTTAAGGATGTCACAAAGCTTTTTTTATCTAAGCAAATGAAAGGATAGAGCTGCCATTTAGTGGGACCGGGAAACAATAAGAAAAGCAGTTACTAGAGGAAATAATTATTTTGACTTTGGATATGTAAATTTTTATATGTCTGTCAGACAGACTCATGAGGAGCAATATAAAGTAAGCAGTTAACCAAATCAGTGTAGAGTTTAGAGGAGACCAAGCTCTCAACTATAAACCAGGGTGGTTTTTTTTTTTTTTCACTCACTGACAATATCTAAAGCCATGATATATAAAAGGAAGTGGGTTCAGACAGAGGAAAGAGAGGACAGAGACAGAGACTAGCCAGGAACGTGGCAGACTCAAGTGGCTCCATCATCCGTGCCTCTTGGTGGTCATGCCCTTGTATGATTTTCATTCCTTAGAATGTGGACAGGACCTCTAACTTGTTTCTAACTTGATATATGTGACAGGGTGTATATGAATTATACTGTGTGATTACATTGTCACATTATGTAAGATTATAGCAGATTTTCCCTCTGCTAGCTTACTTTTATGAAGCAAACAGCCATGCTGAGGAACCACTTGGCAAAGAAACGAGTGTGGCCTATAAAAACTGAGGGAAGCCTCTAGCTGGCATCTTGTAAGGTCTCCAGCCTCCAGCCAACAAGAAAATGAAGCCCTCACTGTCGCAGTCTCAAGGAAGTAAATTCTGCCAACAATTTGAGTAAACTTGGAAATAAATCCTTCTCTAGTCAAGCATTCAGATGCTACCTCAAGCACCAGATGACACTTTGACTGTAGTCTTGCAGAAGACCTAGTTAGGGTGTGCTCAGACTTCTCACCCAAAGAAACAGAGATAATGTGTGTGGTTTTAAACCACTAATTTTGTGGTGATTTCTTATACACCAAGAGCAAAGTAATGCAAGCCCTGAGTTACTACAACATTTAGAGGTGAGGAGATATGAAAGAGCCAGGGAAAAAAAGCCAAATAAAAGAGGCCAGTGAGGTAGGAGGAAAACCAACAGAAAAGCATTTCTTCAAGAGGCTTATCCCCAGCTTCCTCAGAGAAATCTGAGACAAAGAGCAATGGGACAGGTGAGTCTGCTGTCCTATTGGAGGCTCACAGGTAATCGCCATTGAAAGGGACACAAGAAGCCAGGTGCTACTTGGCTCTAGCCTCTTTCTGAGGAGAAAATGGTAAAACGCACTACCAAAGAAATGAAATGAAATTCAGTCTTAACAGGCTCCCCAGAAGACCCAATTAGTGCCAGGGTTGTGCTACTTCGCTGCTTGTAAGACTTTGAAAGTTGGTATTTCAAAACTGGCTAACACTTAATACCAATCAATGTCAGCTCATTTTAATTACTAAGTAGCTCACATAACCTATTTTTAAACTTTGCATTGTTATTAGACATGCTTAGATTGGCTTGTAATTTATTTTTTTAATCAATACAACCAAATCTAATGAACATGTATTATGTGCAAGGCCCTGAATTAACAGCTATAGTCAGTGAAATGAGATGCCCTCCTGCTTTTGTACACGTATGGTTTGCACACTCCTACTGAGTATAGAGCACTGGCACACAGTGTGTAAGTTGTATGCACATTCCTACTACGTATAGAGCACTGACACAGTGTAATTTGTATGCACACCCCTACTATGGATAGAGCACTGGCACACACTATAATTCACATGCACACTCCTACTACGTACAGAGCAGTGGCACACAAAGGCTATGATGTGCCCTAATATGATTGGTATTCAGCTTTTATCTATATTTATCTATAGCTAGCATTCCATTTTCTATAATGCTTTGAAAGCAATTTCTCCTCTATTTATTAATTCAGTGAAGATGTATTGAGCACTTACTAAAGTACACAGAGGGGCAAACTAGATTAACAAGTATTCACAATTCCTTCTGTAAGAAAGGTACTATCCAAATGTGTTTCATTTATGTCCTCAATATTCTTTACTTGTGTATATGTGTATCTATCGACATTTACTCTGCCTAGCTTATAGTATATTTGTCTATATACACCTTGCCTATCTATATATACACTATATAGTATGTGTGTGTATATGCTATACATTTATAGTTTATTTGCCTATATACACCCTGCCTAATCTAGCAATACAACTCTGTCCCTTGCAACCATCTGTTTTTCCCCAGGTTTTGTTCTATCATCAAGCCCCAAAGATTAAATCATTATGGTCCAGTCTGTTCAATTTAGTAGTCTTTGTTATTCTCAATATACTTGGCACTCTGAGGCAAGGGGAAATGTAAGACTAGATCATGTCATGAAGGAGTTTTCAACCTGTTTTTTTAATGACAGCTTTCCTATTCTCCTTTTTTTCTGCCTATCCTCACTTGAAATGTAAGCTTCTCCTTAGGAGAGATTCCTATTAACTTTTTACTAATAGACCTTTTAGCACATAGTATGTGATCAATAAGCATTACTTAGCTGATTAGCTACTTTCCAAAATGATTGAGGTGGCCTGCGTGAAAACAGAAATATATACTTAGACAAAAACATGGAAATTCACTGTTGGATAAACATATACAAACTATAGCTAAATAAAAAGGGGCTGCAAAATGTTTAAACCATACTTTTTGCTCAATAATTTGTTTAATAATTTGGACACAATAACTATTTTAAAAAATATTCATGTATAACTATATTTAAAAATTAAATCTAGGTCTCTGCTTTCCCACAGCTATTACAGAGAAATACAGATTTTTGTAACCTTATTTCCAACAAAAGAAAGTATTTCATTTTATTAAAAAACAAACAAAATATTTTTCCTGGGTGGTAAATTCTAAGTATTTATTACAAGGATCATTAAGGAAAAAATCAGAGCACATATCTCCCTTAATTGTCTTAAGCAAGATGGAAAAATTGACTGGAAACTGTTAAAATTAAAGTGTTGCACTGAACAAGATATACGGCTCCATCCAGAATTTATACTGTGATTCTACTATCACTCTTTGTGTTACTGATGCATATATCAGTCGATAATTATTTTTTAGGACAATTTGGTAAGCATTTTGAAGACCAGAAAAAGTCTGCTAAATGAACATAAATTTCTTGTACTTTCCAAAATACACAATGTATCCACACTGTATTGCTAACCCACATGAAAAACATACCTCAATATTAATATCTATTTCCCACTTCCCAAAGGGAAAGGCTTTACTTCATTTTCATGTACAGTACCATATGAAGTTATGTGAACACAATTTTGGCCTGTAAAGCACTGCAAAATGTAAATCGATTACTAACACTGTAAAGAAGTATAGTTATTTACCAGTGTTATACAAGTGAGAACAAATCGTTACTCTAGAAAGGCCTAAAACATAGCCTGCCAATACTATAGCAAGCTGCTGAAGCCGTTATCCCTGATGAATAAGGGATAATGTGTATCACGTGTCCATGCACCTACAGAATCAAAACTCACCAGAGCTAGGATAGGCATCTAATCCAAGGGTAGTGAATCCATTAGGTTGGCTTGTGATATTAGATGAGGGCTTGTCCAACTAGAAAAAAATTACTGGTGGCAATCTATTTCTTTCTCTTTGAATCTGAACTAAGTAATGCCAAGAAAATTAAGGAGTGATAGAATTGAAGGTGATAAAGGACACAAGTTATTTGGGGATATATATGCAGA